GCTGGATAAACATAAATTGTGACAATAGTTCTTCATATATGTCAGTCGCCTAATTTAGAAACTGTACTTGTGGTCGGTCTTGAGCTTATTGTTGATATGACAATGTGCATTGAAATTTGTAACTAGCTCATCAAAACTGTACCTTGCTTTTCTAAATCAATTGTGGGGTTCAATCCCTGAGCCAATTATGTGCCTCTGTAACCCTTTCCACTACTGCCCACAAGATGGGTATAGGGTGCATAATAAATAAACTAAACTTAAACTTCTAGATAATAGCCCAACACATCCACAAAGGGTGAATTAATAAATGGCAATATCATTGGTACATTCTTGCCTCCTAAGACAACTTTGCCAGTCCAACCCATGGATAAAGGAATAATTAAGCACCACTAAGAGAGAAAATTTGTCAGACATCTCAGTAATGAACCAAGGAACAGCCAAGGACATTTATAAAATCTTCACAATAAGTCAACTATCTAGACTCTTGTTGGTTCATGGGACCAAGTAAAGCTTACAACTCAGAAATGGTTGGAGAAAACTTTGCCTGCATCGGGTCTGTTTCCTGAAGAAGATAACGAGGCAGATTTTGAAGGATTTGGACTGAAAAAAGTTACTGTAGTGAGAAAAATTAGGAGAGAAACTCTTAGCCTATGTCAGAGGGATTAAGTCCACAGAACAGCCGACCTGTGGATAGACTATGACAAAGATGCCCAAGCCTTTCAAAACCTGACTACAAAATTATAGATTTATCTGCATAAAAAAGCCAGTGGAGCAAAATCAGGATGAGGAAGTGGAAGAAGACATGAACGAGAAAGTGGAAAAGGAAAAACATAACATGGAAAAATGTCAGAAATATTTTAAAAGCATTCTTGACTTTATGGAAACAAGTAATTGATCTTAGCACATCAGATGATGAGCATGAGCAATATGTACATGCAGTTTCTGTGAATAAGAACAAAGGGAACAAGCATCAATTAAAGACTCTTCACAAGATTTCCAAGAAAACTTGTATTGAACTACCACCATCTGGGTTATCACATAATGACCTCATCACCTTTAATCTCTACTTCAAGTCAACCCAACACTATCAACATCCACCACCACTGCTACCATCTAAATAACTATGCACCATCAACAATGATCTTCAAGTTAATAAGAAGAGCAGAACTTCTCATATTGATGAAAACAAAGTGCTGTCCAAATTTTCCCCTTAGATTTTCAGGATGATGAACCACTTATCCAGACACAACAGGTTATTCATTTGGTCTCAGTCCCGAGGCATCCGGAAATCATGATGTCGTCTGTATAATCCCATTCTTGAATACAACTCCAGTCTCATCATATAACAATAATCCCTTGTGCAGCTTCAGCTCCTTGTATAGCCCAAGTTCCTTATATGATGAATCCATGCATCCAATAACCTCAAGCTTTACATGCATCTTCAGTACCATAGATAAACCAGATACAGTATTCATGTAACCCTTGCTCCTTGACCACATATCCTATACAAAATGTCACTAACTTGATACATTTAAATTGCTTCATAATTCCAGTCAACCTAAAAACCCTAGTTCCTCTTATAATCAAAGTGCCTAATACTTAATAGAGATATCAAACCTTCTCTGGAGCCCACTGTGTACGGTATAGGGCAGAAAATCATCCCTTCATCCATGTAGTATTAGATACAAGCCACAATACAATAATAAGTAATTCATTGTGTCGAGGGACAGGCGGCCAGTATATACATACATTACATGTTAGTCTTATATTGAGGTCTTATATTATAACCCCACAACAAGCTGACTAACTCCTGGGTACATATTTACTGCCAGGTAGATGGGCATTAGATGATAAGAAACATGCCCAAACATTTCTGTCCCGTTCAGGATTCGAACCTAGAATTCTCGATTGTGAGTTGAGAATGAAATGAACCAAATGAAATATGGTAGGGTAACAACACCTCATTGATTTGGGTCATCTGGGAATTCGATCTCAGGTCAGACAATATTGTAGATTGCATCTTATATGACATGGCTGAAGAGAAGAGGTTATTGCTGCCAGGAAGGATTTAAGTCTCAGTTGAGTTCTAGTTAGTCCCTTCAATCTTGTGTGTATTCTTGCTTATTGTACAGGGTGAAAAACTCATATTTTTCAGGCCCAATTTCAAATCCATGATGATATAAACAAATAAAACGTTATTTCCCACAATATTGAAGATTGCATCTTACATGGCATGAATGAAGGGGTGGGTTGATACTAGAGGTAGAATTTTTGGGGGTTTAGTTCCTGAACCAATTATGTGTCTCTGTAACCTCTTCCACTACTGCCCTCAGATTGGGTATGGGGTGCATAATAAACAAAATCAGTTGCTACTAGTTACCATAGTCGTACTACAGAGAAAATAGTAAATCTCATTTGAATACCAGTTAGTTACTTCTAAAACCCTTCTGTATTTTAAGCATTCTAATGAACATCTAGGGTGACTAAAATCCCACCCTACCCCATCATATATGGTGAAGTTCAGTTCAGTGTGAAATTATCATTCATTCTGATTGAGAAAATCAATTGGAGCAATGAGGTGACTGGAACCGATGATCCGGGTACTTCTAGCTCTGTCTGTACCATGATATGGTATAAATTACAAAATCTGGGATTCCACTGAATCTACAGGTAGACTGGAGGCTTCTAATGAAGCCGTGTTTTACAAATAACCCCCCATTCACTCTAGTGTAGGTAAAGTAGTTCATCAACTGTATACTCCAGCTCCAGATCCACAAGCAAATCCAACTAAAGTAATATACTGTATATCAATGAGAAACAAATTGGAGCAATGAGGTGACTAGAACTAGTGATCAGGATTCCAGCTGTGCACATTACCCCTGTACCATGATATGATATGGTATAAATTATACAACCTGAGATTCCACTTTGGTTTCAGTAGAAGCATCCAGTCTTCCTATGGATTCAGGGGAATCCCAGATTGTATAACTTATACAATGTCATAGTATAGAGGTGTATACCCTGATCACTGCTTCGAGTCACCACATTGCTCCAACTGACTTTCTCATTGATATCTCATATATCTCATATTAGTGTGATTACTTTGTATATTTATTCTGATTAATGAAACAAGAAATCAACGTTCATTCTGATGCATGTTAATCTCATGATATTGCAAGCTTTATTTGATATGATTTTATATGATTGTAATAGTAAGGTAAACCTTACCATTGCAAGGTTTTTATTAACTAGCTACCTTAATGGCTCCCTGGCAAGGTGTAAGCTGGTTGGACTACATAATGTAGCCTACAGCTTACCTAGCTTATACGAAACTCATGGTCTAGTGGCAAGAATGGTGTTAGCGCTTGCAGCATACCTGCATATGTACTGTTGACCCTCACCAAGTGCTTTGATGAAAAATCAAGAAACATCCAAGCAGAAATATCCAAGAAGCAGAATCCATCCTCCCAAAACCAAGTACTGTACAGTACAAACCATATTAGCAAACTGAGTAGCAAAAAACAGCAATATAATTCTGATGAATTATAAACAAAATTATCTTGTTTAATTTGGTTGTTGTTCCCAACTATAGCATATATGGTGTGGTAATATAAAAATTTTGAAAAACATGCACAAATAAAACACTGATCTTGAAACAATTATATATAGTGCATGACAGTGGTTCTCAGGGCCCAGGATTCATGAAAAATATAACTGTCCACTTACAATATCTGTGTCTTTTACCGCGATCATGGCAACTTTATCTGTACTATTTATTAATGTTTATGAGCCCCGAAATGCTATGAGGTTCTCCTCACACAGGTTATTATTGTTAGAGATGACCATGAAGCACTTTGGACCTCATAAACTGTTCAATCCATACAGATCGAGATGATGTGATCGAGGTAAGAGGTACAGATCTCTTTAGTGGACATGTAAATGCTCAGTGGAACCTACCCCCTCAGAGCACAAAGATCCACTGATCAACTGTAGGCATGGAAAACTTTAACTGTGTAAAAATCCTCTATACCTTTAGAAGCATCAGTTAAAAATAGCACATAGGCCTAAAACCTATGATATTAGGCCTACAAGCTAGTAATCAATTTTAAATACTTTTGTAATATCTACATTATTTACATTTCCAGAATCCTTATTTGCATTTTATGATTTTTTTTTACTGTACGTACTTCGTTTGAATGTGATTTTTTTTTTACAAAAATATAACTGCTAAAATACTGTTAATTTGAATGTTATCCAATATGTTACCATATTGATATGGTTTACCAACATAATGGAATAATATTTATCAAATCCACTAAATGAAAAAAGTAATAATTCAGAAGTAGTTCATGAAAATGAAATTCAATGCAATATCCTCTAGAACAAGAAAGTCATAAAAGTTTCTTCACAAGTTCCAGCTAGTACAAGAATGCCCAGGCAGTGTAGGATGAAAATAATAATTCTAATATCCAGAAGCTAGAACACCCAAGCAGTGTAAGGTGAGCAGAATAATTATCCCGTGTATCAAGAAGCTAGAACAATTAATTAGTGGTTAGTATACAGCTGGTCCCTTGTGTATGTGTGTGTAACAGTGCAAGTACAACCCAGCAGCCCATGTTTTGAGAATATTTCCTTTTCATACAACATGGTTCAAGAACAGTACAAAGTCTGTCAACTGGTATACAAGTCATTTCGAACATAAGATGTCCGCTTAGTGAACTTTTTTATTGCATTAAAACCTACCCAAAGTCCCTAATCCAAACTACGTTAACGAAACCCAAGCTAATAGTATAACTTAATCTAGTGATATGCAATATTGTATATAGTTTTAACTATTAGAAAATTATATATATATTTAAAAATTAATTATATGTATGTGCAAAATGCTTGTGTACAAATTGACTGTATTCCCTCAGGTGCATGCCTGTATTCAATTGCGTTTGTCATATTTCGTGGCTTAAGCTTGTGAAAGCACCAATCACCAAAGCCATGCAACGTACCCGTGTTAGAAAAGTTAGTCTTGCGAGCGAGTGATGAAGCCGTATTGTTGTTATTGTTGTTCTGTGGTTTACCATGCAGACTTATGAGACTATCAGGCCAGAACCTTGTTGCAGAGGCCTTGGGGTTGTAGGCCTTGGACTTCTTGGTCTTCTGGTCGGGAGGAGTGGAAGCATCGATCATGGGTTGGAGGATGCGACGCCGGGCGTTGATAAACCAGTTGTTGACTTGGAGAAGCGTTAGGTTGGTCTGAGCTGCAATGTGCCTCTTCTCATCTTCACTCGGGTATGGGTGCTGTAACAGATGAGTAGTTAGTGCACGTACTTTACCTTGACAGAAAAACAAAGTGATAAAAGCTCTATATAAGGTTTCCTGTACAGTGAAAGTTAATAATAAAAATATAACAATTTATATAACAAAGACAACATGTTGATGTATAAAATAAAATACAAATTAAAATTGTGTAATCCAAGAGCTAATTATTTTTAGCATAAATTAACAAAAAGTAACTTTACAATACTTATTGAGAAACATCCTGATTGAATGTTTAGATAATGTTTCACTGTATATACATGCTTGAACAAAATTAAATTAATCATAACTTTACCAAAAGACATACTTAATACAGTGTATGTAAATCGAACTTTCATTGGCCCCCACCACAGGTACGCCACACGACCAATCAAAACAACAAAATAACGTATATTTAGGCAGAGTAAGTTAGAGACTCACAACGATGTGTTGGAAGAGCCAGGCCTTCATGATGGCAGTGGCATGCTTAGGAAGAACCCCTCGCTTCTGGCGACGCAGGCCGCCTTCCTCCTCCTCCTCGCATGATGGGGGGGTCAGGGGAGCTGAAGCAACACAAGCTTTGCCATTATGAAAATAGCAAATTGTGTATGTCCCTTTATCATTATTCAATTTTGTCATGACATTCTTATTTAAGTTTAAGGTATACAGTTATTATAAGCACAGCCTTCACTAATTTTAGCAATTTTCAATTGAAAAGACATCAATAAAATTGTCATATAACTGCAACCCATCCTCCAAAAAATTCTGAAGCCTATAGCTAGTACAGCTGGAAATGTACAAAACACGAACTGGTGTGGTGCCTGTGGTGTTTGGTGGTACTGTGAGTAATGGCAGCTGTAAGGGGTGTTGTGACATCCAGAGTTGTTATGAATGATCCTGGACACTGTACATTTTCACTGTTTCAGAATATACATTTTGCAGTCTCCGTGGTGTAGTGGTAAGACACTCGCCTGGCGTTCCGCGAGCGCTATGTCATGGGTTCGTATCCTGGCGGGGAGGATTTACTGGGCGTAACTGTAGCCTCTGTTTAACGCAACAGTAAAATGTGTACTTGGATGAAAAAACGATTCTTCGCGGCAGGGGATCGTATTCCAGGGACCATAGGATTAAGGACTTGCCCGAAACGCTACGCGTACTAGTGCTGTACAAGAATGTAACAACTCTTGTATATATCTCAAAAAATGAAGGGGCCGACGCGGGCCAGAGTGACGCCCGGCCTGGCCTCTGTTTACACACAGTCGGCGGCGTATGAGATGTACCCAAGGACAAACGCCCAGGATCATCTGCCTTAAAAATGACTTTACCCTGAAGTACTTTTATATATATATTATAAAGTGTATGTATATACATACACTTGTATGTATATACATACATACAAGTGTTCTTACATTCTTGTAAGAATGACTTCAGTCATTTTTCTGTCTTCTTGTAAGACTTCAGCCATCTGTTGTTGAGTCCTTGCTACCCTATATATATATATATGCTGTCATCTCTAAACCTGTCCATAGAAGACAGAGAAAATGTATATATGCTGGCTACCAGCATTGAATAAATAAATGTATGGCCACGTGTGGGGGTAGGAACTAAACTAAAAAAAAAAAGTGCCCCATACAGTAATAATTGATGGCATGTACTATTCGAATTTGAAGGAAGTATTAAAAGGTTATACACGCTAAACATAAACCTAACATAACCTGTTATGTTTGCTGGTGCAATACTAGTAGACTATATTCGCATCGTATATAATTCCCTGATTCCATGTATACCTATTCATCCTGTGAGATGGGAATATTTAGATGAACTAGTTCGTAATCTGTACTTTGACTACATCATATGGAATAGGGAAGTAGCACACGGTTGTTGATAAAAGAAAATAACAAGACTAGGAAAAGTTAGATTTTTGTTGTTATCTTGTTTCTTGTTGTTATCAGTTTTTTTGTGTTCAACAGTCTACATTTTGTATTACCATCCATATATATTATATATATATATATATATATATATATATATATATATATATATATATATATATATATATATATATATATATATATATATATATATATATATTATATATATATATATATAGGTACTATCATCTTTTGAATGACAGGTTGCTATAATGGCTGCTCAACTATAACATTCAAAAAGATAATGAACATTGTTGGAATTTGATGGCTATAAATTAGAAATCATTCCTGTAGTATTTTTTTTTTTTTGTAAAATATGCCTAAACCGTAATCACTTTAAAATCCAAGCACAAGTTAAGATGTATTAGGCCGTAATTAATTTTAACACACTGAACTAAATATTAATAGGTATCTCTTCATAAACGCATTTTCATTAAAACACATGAAATCCATACATATGAAAATAAATACGGGAATACTTCGTAATGTGATAAAATATTCAGAGCAGCGTAATCATGTTATGGACATGAAGATCTGTTTATTTCATACACAGATACTATTAATATTGACGTATAGTTATCCAGTCATTTAAGTAAACCATCTCAATGGATGTTGCAGCTTGCTTAGGGCACTTTAAACTAGCAATATGTCATCACCTGCGATCGCCAAAACACCTTTCAAAGGATTTTAAACTTACCGGAATGCGTTTAAAAGCTAAAAATGTACAATTTTGAAAGAAAAGGCGGTATCTTACCCAGCAGGTTAACGATGCTGGTCTCCGGGGGTGGTGGGCAGGGGTGGGCGCCGATCTGTGAGAGCGGAGTGCTGCCCTGGATTAGGGTCGGTGATGCGGGCGTGGAGAGGGACGTTGTGGGCGTGGTGGGCGAGACGTGGACGATGGTAGTGGGCAGTGTGGTGGTAGTGACGGGAGGGCCAGGAAGGGCAGTGGACTTCGTGGTGGCGACCATACCAGGAGGACTTCGAGTTGGGGTCGCCAGTTGGTCATGTTGGAGTTCCTGGGACTGTATTTGGTGGAGGTGATGGTGGTGTTGTTGGTGATACTCTGCCTGCTGCTGCTGCTGCTGCTGCTGCTGATGGTGATGGTGGTGGTGGTGGTGGTTATGGTGTTGAGTCACCTGGAGACACAGAGCGGCTTGTTGCTGCTGCCCATCCAGAAACTCTCCCGCTAATACCTGTCCTGAGGTGCTAACTACCTGAAGGAAAGGGACGCATGATACTCAACCTGCAGGCTACCTTGCAAGGCACATGACATAATAATAATAATAATAATAATAATATAATAATAATAATATATATATATATATATATATATATATATATATATATATATATATATATAT